AATAAATAAATAATATAATATAGTGAAGGTGACAGATGAACCTCCTTGGGGAGAGCACCCCACAAACGGGGAGCCACCACAGAAAAGGTTGCCACCCTCCAGATCTCTCATGGAGGAGGCACACGAAGAAGGGCCTCAGATGATGATCGCAGGGTCTGAATGAAACTCACTTATTACAGTATTTAGTACAATATGGATGAGCATGTGAGACAGTTAAATAGTCTGAGGAAAGAATGACTCATTATTGAGATGGTTTAGAAGTCTACATTAATCTGTCAGAATATTAATATATTTAATTGGGATACGGGCTTCCACATAGGAGATGAATGGAAACTATAGTACTGTAACATCTTTTCAAACACAGATGCACTTGTTGAATGAGGTTGTACATAACTGTGGTCTCTCAAATTCTAGTAATCCTCTGATGTTTCTAGAACAAGGATTAGGAACCGCAGGGTAGCTCAACAGATATTCCCCAGAAAGGCTTCAAAAATCCGAAATGTATTTCTTGAAAAACTTAATTGTAATTTTCACAATAGAAACAATAACAAAGATGCCACACAAAACAAAAGCTCAGTATTTGAAAATGCAGTAAACAGCATAAACACTATTCCGAAGTCCAGTGAAAATGTCGCATAGCCCAGTGGCTATACCAGCCAAAAGAGCTTATATGATGTAGGCCAGCTCTTATTGACCATCTTAGACATGTATGCCTGAGAGGCAGTGTGGTATAGTGGTTAGAGTGTCAGATTAGGACCTGAAAGACCAGGGTTCAAATCCCCACAAAACCATGAAGATCACTGGGTGACCTTGGGCCAGTCACTCTCAGCCTAACTCACCTCACAGGGTTGTTGTGAGAATAAAATGGAGAAGAGGAGGAGAATAACGTATAAAGTGGTACCTCAGGTTACATACGCTTCAGGTTACATACACCTCAGGTTACAGACTCCGCTAACCCAGAAATAGTGCTTCAGGTTAAGAACTTTGCTTCAGGATGAGAACAGAAATTGTGCTCTGGTGGCACAGCGGCAGCAGGAGGCCCCATTAGCTAAAATGGTGCTTCAGGTTAAGAACAGTTTCAGGTTAAGTACGGACCTCCGGAACAAATTAAGTACTTAACCTGAGGTACCACTGTACCACTTTGAGCTCCATAGAAGAAAGGTGAGATATAAATGTTATAAATAAACTAAAATAATCAGTAAGTAGAAGCAGGGGATCAGTACTGAATGGGACCTCATACTCCAGAGAGTATAGTGTTTGCACATACACACTCCCTTGGCACCTAAATTTTTCCAGCCCTTGTTCAGCAGACTTATGCACCCTGAATACTATTTGGGAATCTGTGCCAGGAGGCGAGGCTTGCAGCAAAACAATTCAGGTTTTCTTTGATGGACCCATGCAAGGGCAAAAAAACCCCAAGATGCTTGTTTTGCACACATTCTCTCATGTGCGATATTACAGCCACCTCCTGCTATCTAGGCTGGGGTTGATTGAATTATCTCTTTTCGACAGTGTTTATAAGCCTGGGACATTTCCAGTGATGGGGATTAGGTGAGACCTAACACTCTGCCGGGGTTTAGCTCCTGCTGGGGCTAAGCTGCCTCTGGATGTGACAGAGCCACAAATCACAAGAGGCAAACCTTTGTTTCTTCTAATCCTTTGTTATCCAAGGGTGTCATTGGCCTCTGCACTCATTTTCCCTCCTGCCTGGCTAACCCTGCACATTTTGCCTCTGAGGAATCTTTCGTTCCCTCCTGCTCCGATGCTGACCTTTTCTTCTTGCCTCGCTGCTCCCGCAGCAGCAGCTGAATGAACCTGTGAGTCAAGGGGAGGCGGCTATCCAAAAGGGCAAGGCCTCAGCTTGAAGATCACGTGGGTGCCAAGCCTGGCAATTATTCTGTTCCACTTGGCACCAGCAGCGAGGCTTTGTGAGCAGCCCAGATTGAAGCAAGCTCTGAATTAGAGGAACTGAAAAGCGAGGGATCCAGCTGAAAAAGATCTTGCAACATCCAGGGCTTACGCAAGTCTGTCCAACTATAGCGAGTTTAACTAAGGCTGCCTAGACAACCATACCTTTAAAGCACGTTCAAATCACACGCACCCCCCTCAGAAGACTGTACTAAGTCAGGGGCTCCTGAGAATTGTAATTTTTTGAGGGGTAAACTACAATGCCCAGAATTCTTTGAGGGGGGGAGATGTGGTTTGAATGTGCTTTAAATGTACATGTGTGTACGATCAGCCTCGATCAGGAAAACCAATATACTCTAAAGAAGATACTCCCTCCCAGGGGTACACTGTCCAGAGTGGTTTAACTCTCAATCGCTTTCCCCAGGAAACTCTGGGGATTGCAGCCCAGGGGGTCTCCTTATATGTCTCAGGATGCTGAACAAACTATAGCTCCCAGAATTCTTTGGGGGAAGCCATGACTGTTTGAAGTGGTATCATGGAATATGGCCCGTGGAGGGTTGGCCGAGTGTGACTGCCGTTCTCATGTGAAAATAAGGTTGGTCACCCCCACTGTAATAACTGCAGGACATTGGACCTCCTTGGATATCAAAAGGTTAAGGGAAAGGGAGGATGATCTTTCTTCAGGAGAGCAGAGATGTGTGGGAAGAGGTTGCTGTTTGCACTACTCAGAAATGAAGGAGCTGCTGCAAAGCCAGGCTTCTTGTCTGTGCAGGGTCCTGCCACCATCATTTTGGTCTGCCAGCTCCTTTCTTTCTTCACTCTTAAGTAGCAATTCAAAGCAGCTGAGCTAACGCTCTTTTGCTGCTTTGTGAGCGCTGTGGCGCTATGTAGTAGCCCTTGGATATTGTGGGCAAAGACAGAAGGCCAAGAAGGAACACAGACAGACCCTTGCAAGGGCAATGAGAAACTAAACCCCCCAAATTTTAATAATTCTGACAATGAGCAAGAAGCATAGAGGTTCTTGTAAGAATGGTCGCACTGTAGGAGGGATGGGCTCCCTTTGCCCATCATGGGGATCCAGGCAAATCTACAGCCTTACCACTCCCTGCAGCTGGTCCTGACTGTTACTGTATTTGGTGAAAACAAAGCTGTACACAGATCAGAACTGGAATAGAAGTCTTATGGATTCATCAAAACAGGATGCTGCACTAGATAGGTCTCTAGGTTGATTCAGCTTTCCTTATATTCTAAAAGGGAAGGGCTGTTGTTTAGTGGCAGGGCATTTACTGTCAGGAGCTCGTCCTACTCTCAAGTAGGACCCTGGCAGAGACACATGCCCAACTGGCATGTTCCCTCCCTCCCGGTCGATCATTCAGGTGCTTCAAAAGCTTTCTTCTGCCCGGACATCACAGCGACCGATGTCAATACACATTGGCACACTAAGGGATCTGCAGAGTCTTCGCAGCTTGCGTAACAGACCTCAGCAACTCAGCATTTTGGCTAATCTACTTTATTTACATATAAACACACACGGAGCACTGCAACATGGCTCCCTCTCTCTCTAGCATCAGACAGCAAAGAGAAAAAGAACAAAGGACAACAGTGTCACTTCACGGAACACAGTAACACAAACATCCTGTCTCTGTCACTTCCCATTCTGAGGAGTCGAAACATACACCGTCATGTGATAGACAACAATCCCATGACTGCAATCATGGAGCAGGAATTCTAACATTTACTGGCATTTCCCTGGCATTTCCAGATAGGGCTTGCAGAGATTACTGTGTCTGCTGGAGACCCTGCCAATGCAGTGAGCTACATGGACCCAAGGGTCTGAGTACTATAAGGCAGCTTCCTAGGTTCCTATCTCCTGTTGTTGCTTCCAGGGGACTCATGGAATTAAAACCGTCTTCATCTGAGAGAGACCTTGTGATGCTCAATAGCCTGGAGTTCTTTTCATGTTTCAATTCCTGCACTTTCTCCAAGGAACTCAGAACAGAAGTAGCATTGGACCAGCCAAACTTGCCGTTATAGGAGCCGGTATGCGGTACAAAAATAATGGTCTTTCCATCCCCCAGCCTTCTCTTAAGCAACTCTCCTTTCAAGTGCAAAACCTTTACAGGTTTATAAATTAATCAGTATCGTGTATTGGCAGGCAGTGCTTAGGGCCAAAACTGAAAACAATTGCAGATGAAAGGCTTATTATGCAACCGTGAATTCCGAGACAAATTATGTTCCATGAGCAGCGTTATTAGATCCCTTCCCCCCCCCTCAGTCATAAGATTCCCCAATGGGCTTTTTAAAAAGAAAAACTAACAAGTGGGAGCTGTGGAAGTTCTGAGTTTGATCAGAGCGGCCAGCTATGCTAGGGAAGGGAGGTTAATTCTCTCTGTGTTTGTTTTTTACTAAAAGCAAGCATGGGCAGGCGGCTTCCTATGTACTGATGCCCACCTCTTAATTTCAAGCCTTTTTAAACCACCCTCTTCATTTGAAAAGGCTCTTGAAAGTGGCTTACCTAAGATCCATAAGAAGGCAGACCCTTTTAGGCTGCAGATTTGCAATCCAAAAGGCAGGGGAGAAAGGAGGAAAGGGAGGAGGAGGGAAGAGGAAAACAAGCGTCAATTCTTTAAATGAAAATTCTTTTAACAAGTAATTACACATTTTTGCATTTAACGTGTGTGTTACCTCCTAGAAACTGTGTAAACACTGGAAACTTTGGCTTTTACTCATTATCCACACTTACATTTTCTTTGCTATTTCCAGGCACGGTTCATGTTTTAAAGGTCTGTGTCGGAGCTAAGCACCCACAAAAAACTTGAAACAAACGTCAATCTGCAGAAAACCAGAATTGACATTTGTTTTGATTGAGCATTAAAGAGCATGTTTTCGTGGGGAAAGCTCTGGGATAAAATAAAATAAAATGCTCTGAACAGAACTTTTAAGCATGGACCTGTGCCTGGAAAAAGCAAGGCCACAGGTAAGTGTGGCTAAGCCCCCAGACCATTGGTCCATCCATCTCCCTCAGAACTGTCTGCTTTGTGCAGCAGAAGCTCTCCAGGATTTCAGACAGTGCTCTCTCTTCCAGCCCTTCCAGAAAATCCCAGGCATTGAACCTGGGTCCTTCTGCATGCAAGGCAGCTGCTGCTGTCACTGGGCCACAGCCCTTCCTCCTAAATTATGCTAGCAGAGAGATCTGGATGAGATGTCCACGAGCTCCCTAATCTGATAGCTTCCAGCCCTTGTGCCCCTAGGGGCACTAGAGGCTCCCACCTCCCGCAGCACGCGGAAGAACAGCGAAAGCAGCTCTTCGCCCATTCTTCCCCAAGGAACCCGAAAATCCTTTGCGTATATACGGACAGACCCCAGTTGCCTCGCTCGTTTTGTAATCTGCCGCCACCTGCTGGCCAGGTTCATCACCTGCATCCCAGGAAGGTGTTCTGGACGAGGGAGGTTTGAGGAGGGGTGCGCGCGCGCGCTTGGCATTGTGTTTCCATTGCATGCTCGCGGCTTCATTATGACTCCCCGGGGAGGGTGGTGGAGAGCAAGGGCATCTATGCCCACTTCATTCATCGGGAATCAGCCTGATCGCCGCAGATCACAGCCTTTTGCAGCGTCGGGTTGGTGCAGGTGTCTGGACACAAATCTCTCTCTCCCACGCCAAGGTGCTGCTCCAAACCCAGCGTGGGCGGAGCCTGGATTTTTTTTTTGGGGGGGTGGCAGGACTTTTGTTGGGAGGGAAGACCCAGAACGGACGTGATTGTTCAGTTAGTTAAGTATTTCTATTGTCTTACTTGATCTACCCCCCCCCCCGACTGCGCCCCTGCACCCCAGCGCACAAATTCTTCACCAGATGATTCAGAGAGGGACAGGAAGGCGGGAGGGGTGCTTTCCAGACGGGAGTTTTAGTGTTTGATCAGCGGCTGTGCCCTTTTGGTAAACGGAGAAGAAAGAAGTGAGAGGCGTTTGGTTCCTTTTTCTAGATAACTCTTTTCTCCAGGGCCTTTCCGTACGAAAAACCAAGCAAACCCCGAAGTTTATCCGGTTCTGAATCAGTACCAGGATATTCCTTAGTCTGCAAATGGTAGATGGAGTTGTCCGTGCTTCAGGAGAGCCATATTCATATGCAGTTCCCAGTACTCATACTCGTTAACCCTGCCCTCTCCTCTGTAAAACATAAACTGTAAGCTCATCGGGGCAGGAATCTCTCTTTCTGCATATCCCTCAAGCTTGGGACCAGTTTACTTGAAGGGTCGCTTTACGCCATTTGTGCTCACTGGCACCAACCTTTAGGAGTGCCACATAATGTTCATTCTGCTTTTGCAACAAATCAATCCTTCAGAGTGGCAGAACCTACTCTATGGAACTCCCTGCCTGTTGACATTAGGCAGGCATCTTTGCTGTATTGTTTTAGCGCCTGGTAAAAACTTTTGTGTTTTCTTTTGGCAAGCCTACCCAAGCATGCAATTCTAACGTGCCATTTTATTACATAGATTGCTGCTTTTATTTATACTTTGATAAAACGTTGTGTCTTATTTGTTTGTAATCTTTGCTTTTCTTAGTTATATTTAATAAATGTCTGAGAGTCATCAAGCTGGAAGGGATCCCAGGGACATCTGCTCCAGCCCCCTGCAAGGCATCCATGACAGATGGCCGTCCAACATCTGCTTATAAACCTCCAATGAAGGAGAGTTCACAACTTCCTGAGGGAGACCGTTCCACTGTCAAACAGCTCTTATTGTCAGAAAGTTCTTCCTGATGTTCAGTCGGAATGTCCTTTCTTGTAACTTGAATCCATTGGTTCAAGTCTTACCCTCCAGAACAAGAGAAAACATGCTTGCTCCATGTGACAACCCTTGAGATATTTTAATATGGCTATCATATCTCCTCTCAGTCTCCTCCTTTCCAAGCTAAACATACCCAGCTCCTTCAACCGTTCCTCATAAGGCTTGATTTCCAGACCCTTGATCATCCTGGTTGCCCTCCTCTGCACACGTTTCAGCTTGTCAGCATCCATCTTAAATTGTGGTCCCCACAATTGGACAAAGTTTTCCAGGTGTGGTCTGACCAAGGCAGAATAGAGTGGGACTATTACTTTCCTTGATTTGGACACTATACTACTTTTGATGCAGCCTAGAAGAGCATTAGCTTTTATTTGCTTCTGCAACCCACTGTTGACTCATATTAAGCTTGTGGTCCACCAAGACCCCTAGATCCTTTTCACATGTACTGCTAGTAAGCCAGGTGTCCCCCATTCTACACTTGTGCATCTGGTTCTTCCTGCCTAAGTGCAGAACCTTACATTTGTCCTTACTGAAATCCATGTTGTCAGTTTGTGCCCAGTTCTCCAATCTGTTAAGGTCATGTTGAATCCCGATTCTATAATCTACCTCAGGTGGCAGATGCTGTTCTTGAGCCCCCTAGCCACTCCCCTCAGTGGCAGATCAAAGCTATGTGTGCTAAGGCCGGTTATGCATCCCCTAAACCAGGCACAGGGAACCTTGGGCTCTCCAGATGTTGCTGAACTACAGCTCCAATCTGCCGCAGCGTCACAGCAAGCAAGGCCGGGGACGATGGGAGTTGTCAATCAGTCATATCTTTAAAAATTCAGCATCTTAAAAAGCAGAGACATCACCTTGCCAACAAAGGTCCGTATAGTTAAAGCTATGGTTTTCCCAGTAGTGATGTATGGAAGTGAGAGCTGGACCATAAAGAAGGCTGATTGCCGAAAAATTGATGCTTTTGAATTATGGTGCTGGAGGAGACTCTTGAGAGTCCCATGGACTGCAAGAAGATCAAACCTATCCATTCTGAAGGAAATCAGCCCTGAGTGCTCACTGGAAGGACAGATCCTGAAGCTGAGGCTCCAATACTTTGGCCACCTCATGAGAAGAGAAGACTCCCTGGAAAGACCCTGATGTTGGGAAAGATGGAGGGCACAAGGAGAAGGGGACGACAGAGGACGAGATGGTTGGACAGTGTTCTCGAAGCTACCAGCATGAGTTTGACCAAACTGCGGGAGGCAGTGGAAGACAGGAGTGCCTGGCGTGCTCTGGTCCATGGGGTCACGAAGAGTAGGACACGACTAAAGGACTAAACAACAACAACAAATATCTGGAGGGCCAAAGGTTCCCTACACCTGCCCATAACTAATCCTGCTGCCAACACTGGAGCAGGATTCAGCTGCCAGTCCAGTTTTTGTGCACATGGATTTGTGTGCGTGTCTGTTTGTCCACCTTGTCCTTTGCCCCAGGCAGCGAAATACCTTCAGCCAACCCTGACCTTTCGCTGTTATTTTCAGGAGAAGATTGCATGAGCAATGCAAAGAATAACGAGAATGGGAATTCACAGGAACACTGAGTTGTGGGCGGAACAGAAACAGAAGAAGTTTGTGTAGGCAACAGTAAGTAAGCAAAACATGCCGTGCTCTCACGTCTCTAAAATCACCCCACTGCCCTCCTGGAAAATTTTATACTCTTCTCCTTCCCTGAAAACGTCAGATTTTACTACAATCTACATGTTGGAATACAGGAAACTGCCTTTTGCCAAGTCAGATCATTTGGGCATTTAGTGCAGTATTGTCTCTACCATGATGGACAGCTGCATTCCAGGAATTCCAATGAGGGTCTCTTCCAGTCTGACCTGCAGATGCTGAATATTGAACTTGGAGCTTCTTGCATGCATAGCAGGCACTCTGCAGTGGAACTACAGGCCTTCCCCACTGGCTCAATGTTATGTTTTGTTTAAAACAGGGACGTGGCCAAAAAAAGAGAGAGAACACAAATCTGCACATCATTTTATATGCTAGCTGATGTGTAATAAATGCAAATTTAGAAATGATTACTGCGATTTAAACATAAATACAATACATGATCTCACCCAGGTTGGGACTCTGTACATTTTGAGCACCCTGCCCTGGCAAAGAATCCTGGGAACTGTAGTTTGGTAAGGGTGCTTGGAATTGTAGCTCTGAGGAGGGCAAAATCCCGTTTCCAAGGTGGTGGTGCTTCAGATGTGTTTTAAATGCATGTTGTGAACATAGACGATTTGTATAAGAACATGCGTTGTAGGGGTTGGACTAGAGGATCTCGTGGTCCCGTTCCAGCTCTGCAGTTCTGTGATTCTATGATTCTAAGGATCTCTGGTAGATCAGACCAAAGGCCTATCTAGCCCAGGATTATATTCCCAGAATAGCCAAGCAGTTGCCTCTGGAAAGTCTGCAAGTAGGAGGCAATCACAATAGCACCCCCCCTCCCATAAACACCCAGACTTGATTTCGGGCAACTGGTATTCAGAAACAGACTGTCGCAAGTTGTAGCCTGAGATAAGAAACTTTCACATTGCACAGAAATCTTCAGGACATTCTTGCCTGAAAAAAAGAGAGTCTTCTCTCAACTCAAAACAACAACAACAACAACAACAACAACAACAATAATAATTTATTTATACCCCGCCCATCTGGCTGAGCTTCCCCAGCCACTCTGGGAAGCTTCCAACAAAATATTAAAATACTGTAATACATCAAACATTAAAAGCTTCCCTAAACAGGGCCGTCTTCAGATGGCTTCTTAAAGTCTGGTATAGTTGTTCTCTTTGAAATCTGATGGGAGGGCGTTCCACAGGGCAGGCGCCACTACTGAGAAGGCCCTCTGCCTGGTTCCCTGTAACTTGGCTTCTCGCAGTGAGGGAACCGCCAGAAGGCCCTTGGCGCTGGACCTCAGTGTCCGGGTAGAATGATGGGGGTGGAGATGCTCCTTCAGGTATACTGGACCGAGGCCTATCCTATCCTAATAACATTGATGGCCAAATAGCAGTTGGGGCTGGTACATATATTTATTTCCCCCAGCTTTTACAAGTTGTTACATTTAACAAGAGGAAGAGTCTACAATTCTTTTTTTGAAAAAGGGAGCAGGCACACCTTGAAATGTAACTCCTAGCTTGTCTTTGAACGAGGTATGCTAAGTGCTGGGTGGTGTCAGATAGTTTGTCATCGGAGGGTGACTCAGGTTAATTATTATCCAGTTGTCCATAAGGGTGGAAAAGACCATTGTGGCATCTGTGCTTGCCTCAACCTGCCATTGTTGGTAAACATTCACTGCATCTTGACTGTAGGAACGCAGCCAAACCCTGCCCTCAAGCTTCTATAGCCTGTCTAGGTCAAGAGACAATC